ATCTGGCAGTAAACGGGGAGGGGGTGAATGGGGGAGTGCAGGGCCTGGGGCTGATCCCCACCTGCCAGAGTTGCTGGAGACCCCTTTTCCCGCTTGCCATCCCAGGGCCTTTGGGCCAGGTAGCTTTGCAGCCTATCAGGTGCTCCCTGGGGTTTGGGGACACCAACCTTGGGGTGTCACCCATGGGGGTCACCCTGGGAAGGACCTTAAAACACCTGTGGCAAAATGGGTGTCCCCCAGCATCAGTGGGTCCCCAGGACTGGGCTGCAGGCACCTCCACAGCAGGCTGCAAGGACAGAGTTGTCAGCGCCCCAGGCAGGACACGTGTTTGTCCCCACCCCGGGGGAGTTCTTGCTGGCAGAGCCACCCTGTTGCGTCGCTCCCCTGGGACAGCCCAGTCCCTGCCACCGAGGAAGCGTCATGGGGTGCCGGGGCTGGTGGCCGCTCTGGAGCTGGGTGCTGTTGGGGATCTGTGTGCTGCCAGGTAAGTGCTGGGGTCAACCGCATCGCTGTGGGGCTGGCTGGGAGGCTGATATCTGGGTGACGGGTGATGAGCTGCGAACAGCTCTCTGGCTGCAGATTCAAGCCTGAGTGCTCGGCTGGTGTTTGCCCTGTCTGTTCCCACTGGTCCTGGCATGGTCCCCCAACCGTGGCTGGAGGGGTTTTGCAGGTTTAATGGGGACTTGCACCCATGCAGAAGGTGCCTGTGTTCCTCTCAGCATTGGTGCATCTCTGGGTGTTGGGGTGGGGACAAGCCCCAAGGGCTGGGGGCACCTTCCTCCTGCAGTGGGGAGGAAGGATGAGGGTGACAGGGACCCTGGGCTCTTTTTTCCCCCTCATCCTGTCCTCGCCCACCTGCTCTGCTGCCAGCACAAGCCAAGGAGATGGGAGAACAGCCCCTCACCCCCACACCAGAGCTGGGTAGCATCTCCCCTGCAGCCGACACCAGCAGCACAGAGCTGCTTCCACACCTGGGCTTGTGCCAGGCGTTCCCCACAGCCACGGCCGCCCAACTGGAGCACCGCTCTCCCAACAGCGAGACCACCACCTCGGCAGGCAGCCACAGCTCAGG